CCGCGGACAGAGCGCCCTCCGCTCCGCGCCCCGCGGAAGGGATGGGACTGCTGCAGCTGCGCGGATTTGTTTTAAAAAATATAACAAAAAAAAGAAAATAAAATAAAAAGTGGGGTGTCAATTATATAAAAAAAAATAAATCTCCCTTTTAGAAAGAAAAAATGGCCTGGTGTAGGCGGGCATGGGGTCCGGGCTGGGTGGGTCGGGGCGGCGGCAGTCCCTGCGCGGCCGCGGAAGCCCCCGCGGGGCCGTGGGCAAGGGCCGGGCTGGGCCCCGCCGGCCGCCGCTGCGGGTGGCCCAGCCGGCGGTGCCGGGTCCCGCACACCTGCCCCGCACAAGCCGCCCGACGGGTTTTCATGCGTTGGGGATGGATTTTAGGACCTATGGCAGAAACCCGGACTCAGATTTGTCCCTCCGTCCGGCCTGATGGGGATTTTTTGGATTGAAGCGGGGGGGGGGCACGGACACCGAACTGTTTGGGGATTAAATTAATCTGGAGCTCGACCAAAGAAGCAGCGTCACCCTTCAAAGTAGGTTAAACCCCCAGCGCTGGGAACCGGGGGGGCCCAGCACCGCGGCGACCCCGCCGAGCCACGGCAGGACAGGGGTGCGTGATGCTGGGACAGCCCCGGCTGAGGCGGGGAGACACCCCAGGGTACAGCCCAGGGGGACGGGAGCAGGGGGTATTCAGCACCTTTCTCTGCTTAGTATGAGGGATGGGGGAGAAGTTTGATAAATTCTACCAGGTTTTGTCGATCTGAGGGTGACTGGGATGACAACCTCATCTGCAAACTACCCTGAACCTAAAAGGAAGACACGGCGTGAATCCAGCTGTGGACGTGGGTTAGCTTTGACAGGGGATGAATGCTGCCCTCCAAGTCTCCATTTTCGGGGGTCACGTTGCCATCACCCGCTGGCACGTTCACGCGTGGCCCGCAGCCTGCCGCCTCCCCGGCGTTGAGGAGAACGCACCGGCGCGGGGAGGGCGATCCATCCAGCAAGAAGGGGAGGTACCGGCATCCCAAACCTGGAGGATTCCCCGGGCGGGGGCCGCCAGCGCCCGCACCGTCTCCCCGGCGGGCGGCTGTTGCCACCCAGCGGCCGCTGCTCGCCCCCGGCCCCGCGGCTCGCCCCGGCCAGCCCGCACCCCCCCGGTCCCCTCCCGTCCCGTCCCCGCAAGGCGGGCGGGAGCGAAGGGCTCTGCCGCTTCATACCCCCCCAGGGAGCGAGGAGGGTTACGGGGTTCCCCCTCACCCCCCCCGCTCCGCCTGCCGGTTTTTAAAACGGGTCTGGTTGTGTCCTCGGGGGTGAAGAGGGAGCAGAGGTTGCAGGGCAGTGGGGACAGGAGGTTTATCAGGAGAAGATGGAGGATGCTCCACGCTGCAGCCCACCCGTGACTCACGGCAGGGTGACACGGCCACTGCCGGGGCACGAACACGCCTCTGCTCTGTCCCCATCAAAGCCTTGGGAAAGTGAGGAGTTTGCAACGAGCAAACGATTTGCAACGATTGCTTCCCGTGGCAGAACCGCAGACAAGGGAGCTGTCAACCAAGCAAAATCACCGCCTTGATGTTCTTGCACCAAAAGAGAAAGGAAAAATAATAATAAAAATAAAAAGGTCTCCTCTGAATACAAAAAGTAACCTGACATTTCCATGGAACATGCTATGGTTGAGATGGAACGAGCGAGACAGAAAATGGGAACAGTCACAACCAACGGGGCTGTGGGTTCAGCCTGTCACTGTGCTGCCCACTGCATCTCACACACTTGGTCCCACCACCGAAAACACATCAGACACAGAGGGTGGGCAACACAGACAAACTCTCTGGGTAAAGCTGCACAACAACGGCGTGGCAGGGTTGGGTTTGAAGCCCCACGGGAGAAATCGTCGTGGGACTGAGGCAGAAAACAAAGATGCAGATAAAACCGATGGGCTTTCGTAAGGAGAAATTGAAAATGTCACTGAATTGGTTAAAGGTATTTAAATGTATTTCGTATGCAGAAATGGAAGTGAGACCAACTAAACGAACAGAGCGTACTGAGAGCATATAATCACTAAACTAAAGCAGTTTCAGTATTCGTAACTGATTTCTGATAGAAACAGGTACAGCAAAGCTCCAGATACTCGTTTGGAATGGATTTAGTAATATGCCTTTTCCCCACTAGCACTTCGCTAAAGAAATGAGAGAGCCCAGCCTTTTTATGTTTGAGAGGAAAATAACGGTCATGGTTCACAAGAAAGCCTGCAAACACCAAACACAGCTGAGACCGTACCAGAAAAATGAAAAACACCCGAGAAAATCCTAGTAACTGTTTGCTTTAAGCAAGGGATTGGGAATGAGTCATGGGAAACAAAACCTGTGCCTTGAAGAATGATAAACTGGGACTCTGTAAAAAAGCAAAACAAAATTATGTGCATTTAAACAGTCTTTCTTCTTCTTAACTTAATGTGTTAAATGCATTGCACCTGACCTGCATTTATGAACGTAATTGAAGGGAGCGGCTTCTTAAAACTAATTACAATGTTGCCTGAGTGGATGATGAGCATCTATTAAAGTGTCACAAATTTGCATCACTGTATCGCTTTTTCCCTTGCTTGTTTGTTTGAGTTCAGCGGGATAAAGCAACAGTTAAAGAGACATCCAAAATAGAGGCAGTATGTTTTGGGGGGCGGGAGGGATAAATAGAAGAAACTGACAAGAGGGGCTCTGGATTTATCAAGGAACGTGGAATGAGCACATAAAGTTAGGTAAGAAATCACTGCGGTGCTTTTAGGTAGCAGAGTGACATGCTGACTAGTAAAGAGCTGATCCTGCAAATCCTCCAGCACACGCGTTTACCTTCCTGTGAGCTGGCCCACCGAAGTTAATCAGACTAATGAGAAGAATTAGCTGCATCCAGGATTGGAAATGCAAACAGAAGCTCGTGTGAAAAGAGCTCCCTTGACAGTTTAGAGGCAGGAGCACCGACAGCAGGTATCGGTGGTGTAAAGGACAGATTATTTTTGTGAGAGGGCTTTCTTACCCCTGCTCGGGCAGCTGGCCAACCAGGCAGGACCATGCAAAGCCTGCTCTTTCTGTGGTAGCTTCCCAGATGCCCGACGTACAGCGAGTGCATTATTAACAAATGCTCTAGAAAAGGGCTTTACGCCTGGCAACACCGAACTTCCCGACAATCTGAAAGTGGACACCTTTCCCTTCTACCTTTGTATTAACGCCGAGGGGATTTCAATAGCAACTCTGGTTCCTGGTGACCTGCCCACCCTGTTATTTCCTTGGCTCACGAGCAGGCAGGTTAGAGAGAAACAAGCGATTGTTTAAAGCCCCACCTGAGCAGGCACGAAGCAAGAGGGGTGTACGTTTGCACCCCGTGACAGTGCTCAAAGCGAGCAAGGGCGTTCCCACATTTTTTTGCTGTAAACCTGCAGAGATTTTCCGTTCTCCAACACAAACCAATACAAAACAAACGCCCCAAACTAAATCTGAGTAGCCCAAAAGTAGCATTTAGAGTGGTACAGGTAAATGCAATTATGATAACCAAAGAAGTCCTTTGTCTTACCGTGTTCTAGCACAGCTTATTTAAATATGGGGTTTATTGAGTCTGCTAAGATTGTGCCCACGGGTGGGGAATTTGCACGTCAAATTTAGCAGCCCGTGGCGCTGTAAATGCTTGTTGGTGGTATGTCCAGTGAGGCATTTGTCTGTGCCACCCACGGCTGTGCTTCAGCTGGGTTTTCCTCTGTTCAAGCATTCGGTGCTTCTCCTTTCCACGCCAGCACGTATTTTGCTCTGCGTGCCCTTGTGCCTGTGACAGCTTTCTAACTTGCTCCGATTAAAACAAACCACCAACAGCATGATCTTCTGTGTTTCTGTCCATGAGACCACGACACCCAGGGACCTACGGAACCTCTGCCACGCTGCACGAGATGCCTTGCAAACAGGGCTCTCCTCCAGTCTTGCAGACACGCATCTAATTCTCTGCCATCAACTGCACAACACCATTTATTGCCAAGACTGGCTCACCTGTTTTGCTCAACGCGTTGCCCAACATTGCGAACTAAGGCATTGTATAAAATGCTTTAAGAAACAGTTTTCTGTATGTAAAAAGCATAGGGGGAAGGTAGCACCTGTGAAGCCTGGATGTGCGGGTTTTTTCCTCATTTTTAACCAGGAGGGTGGGAAGTTGCCCCCACCAAACGAGCACCTCTTCAGAGTGCATTCCTGAAACGGGAGCTTGCCTTTCATCCTGCCGGTGTCGCAAATGCTACAGGTGTGGAGTGGATCCTTCCTGGCTGGAAGCGCCCACAGAGCCCAGAACGCTTCTGTAAAACGTTTAAAGCATGCTCAACCTGCAATTATGGTTTATTTCATGGGGCTTAATTGTGCTCATCAGGAAAGGCAGCTGGATGAGATTTTCAGACGATATCCTTAGGGTCCAACCCAGCAAACAGCTCCTGACTTTCAGACCCCTTTTACTGTACTCATCCCTCAACCATCTTCACTTCTCATCAAGACAGAGGCCCCATGGTTTGGATTGGAGGGAGTCAAAACAACTGCATCCAGCTCTGGAAAGCCTCCTGTTTGACATCTCTTCTCTGCTATGTAGCAACAGGGTCTTGTCTTCACGGCATCTGAGCTGTCTCACCGCCCTTCGCAAGCTCCCAACCTGCTCTTGTGATTTGGGCAGAGCCGCCTGTGCCCTTTCTTTCTTCCCTCTGCTGTGGAAAAAGGGATCGGAGACCAACTTCCCAGTTGAAAGAGCAGAGAAGCAAAGGAGACAGGAACAGGAGATGGGAAGAGTCTGCTGGACAAATAGGAACATCCATCTGCGAGCCATAAACTTTCAATACACCTGTTAAAATTTCTCACAGTAAAAAGGGGCAAAAGCATTTTTTGAGTAAATGCTTTAAAATGAAGACCAACACACCTCATCTTTACTTTCTTTGAAGCAACTGTTGGCTTTGAAAAGAATATCCCCCTCAGTTGCAAGTTACCTAGAACATTTAAAATTTGGTTCTAGACTTATTCTTACATACGTTATTTACAGCTGGTATCTTTACAGATTTAACACCTTATTTTAGCCAAGGGAGTTGATTCCCAGTGCTCGGTAGCGCAATTAACTGTTAATCACATATGTTTTGCTTTCGCCCCTTTATTTACATTGCTCTAGCTGCACTACTACAGAATGAACTTCATAGTTAGAACTCGAAAGGTTTAAAATTAACATGGGAATTCCCCTCCAAGCTGAAAACAAACTTGTTTTCAACTTAGAAAAATAAAATTTCAGACTGGCTCGGTGCTATTCCACCAGAGAGGTGTGTTATTCTATTCCTTCACCAAGGTTTCCCCAGGCAGCACACCTTCCCACTCAGCTTCGTGAAATGTTTCCCCTTGTCCCCCTCCATCAAATTAGACATGCATCTTTGGGTTGCTATGTTGTTTTTTTTTTTAATTAAAAAAAAAAAACCCAGAAGCACTTTCTGCTTCTTTCAGTGCAAGTTTCTGCCCAAAAGCTTAGCAGCATCGTTTCCCACCCACCGCAGACCACCACCAACAGAAGATTAGCAGGGTCATCTTTTTCACCAATTTAGTGCATCTGGGTTGAAAGAAAGGAAATAAGAGAAAGAGGATGGGAGGTGCAGCAAGACAGGCACCTCATTTGAAGGTCTCTGGCTCTTTTGAGTCTCCCCCCAGCGACAGAGGAAAGGAAATGACTTCATGAGGTTTTACTACCAGCTTTGACAGATCATCAAACACGCACCTACTGTTCAGTGTGCTCGGTACTGACTGGACAGAAAAAAAAAAGGAAAGACTGGAGCTACCAGATAATTTAGCCTTGTAGCTGAAATCCGATTACAAAAAGGAATGAAGAGCAATCTACTTTGGCCTGCTACTTACATTGGAAAGGAAAAAAATCAGCAGCTCCAGCTGCAGTGTGGCCTTCTTCCCTTTCAAAACTTTTATTTCTCCAACATTCTAAGATTAGTATCAGCCCCATAGCTTTAAAACACATTTTATACAGCCCATACTTTCCTCAATCCATCTTTGATTTTGGCTCTCTGATAATTTAATAAGACTATCCTTCTAAAAGATTGAACTTCTGTGATTTGGGATTTACTTTGAGAATAACTATCTTAGAGGCTGTTTCTCCCCTACTATTATCTTGGAGCTAGCTCTCCACTCAGGCCCTCCTACCACAGACCTGAACCATAATACAGTAATTTTCTATACAGCTGCACGCTCAGTGGTGCTGCAGGAAGACAGCTACCATAGAGCTATTATTGCTATTGTTCCCCTCTAGGAAGAATGAGCATCATCAGGATTCACAAGCACTTCCAGAGAGCACCAGCACTAGTTATACACTGGCAGCTCCCCCTGAGATAAAGACAGGTTGTGTCAATTTAATCCCACTTTCATTAAGGTTTGATGACACCGGGTCTGCTGACAATATTCAGTCTAATTCTTCAGCCGCTGCACACCTCTGTCCTAAGCTGCTAAAATGGAGGGATATATTGCCCCCTCTGCTGTCCTACAAAATTAAGAGGATCCTGCTGAACTAATCCCAGATTTAAAGGAAAAAAAAGAAGAAGAAAAGAAAACCACCAACCCCTGCAAATGAATTTCTCTATTGCTCTTCATCCCCTCAAAGAACTTAGAAATTACAGGCTTTGTTGATTCTCCATTTATTTTGAGAAATATAAAATATGAAAACTAGTTTACAGTTCTGGCACAAAAATGATGAAGCAATAAGCACAAAGTTTCTTTTTACAAATAATGCTATATCTTTTTACCATTTAAAAGTGCCTAGAGTTTTTCACAGCAAATAAAGTTTATTTATCTATATCTTTTTTCTTAGTAAAATATTAGATCTATTTAAATTGCACATGAACACCTTGGTGAAGTAAACTATATGTATAGTTACAATAAATCTGTATTTAAAGCAGACAGTCATTAGAAACTACATGGAATGGAAAAGACTATCAAAGCCTAAATCGAATCTTAAAGATGGACAAAGAAAACAAGAGACAAGACACTGACTGATATGGCACAAGTGATTAAATTATTAACACAATCTGACAAAAAGTAATAAAGCCTATTGGAAGTTCTTCACTGATCTAATACATTGCTAAAACATTTCAATGCAGAGGTTTTGTAACATTTAAACTGGCAAAATAGTTTTTTGGCTGCTAAACATTTTTCCACAAGATTACAAGGCATCTCCTTCACTTCATATTGGACCTTAAGACGAGTACATTGGTTGATAGGGAATGTGCAGAAGAAAACAAAATTTACACCAAAGGCTGCTGTAGTTGACAGTTTACTATGTTTTGACAATAAAACTGTTGAAAAGTTTACCAGTTAATTTTAACTGTATTAACTTGCAACTGCAGCACCTAGAACATTTAAAAAGATTTTTCTTGTTCCATCAAAGAACTTGTTTCATTCCAATTTCCACAATTGCTGAGGGGTTCAACCTACAATTTTACCATGAATACAACCACTTACACTATGCAAAATTAGGTGTGAGCTGACATCTCTATAGATCAGGGCCATAACTTTGACTCAGTATTCTTACTCCTTCAGACATTTGCACTGAATTCTATCAGTCATTATTTGGAGGACTTTTCAGTCAAGCAAGAGTGATTAGTGATCTAAGATGTCCAACCTGAAATATTTTAAAGAGGCTCAGCTGCCATAATGTCTTATGTGTGCTCTGATTATGTTCCTTATGCGCAAATCCTTTAACATTCTAAGTTGAAGATCCAAAAATTCAAGTATCCAAAGTCTTACTGGTTTGAAGTCCTGACCTTCAAGCTTGTGTTGATGCCAACTTATTTACACAGGCATTTCTTTCAAGCTACAGCACAACTGATTTACCCGTTTTGGTATCTTTTGCAGGTGGTCAAAGGAGTATTTGATTTGCATCAAAATAGGAATTAATAATAGGGTCCAAAGAGCATTGTTATGTCGCTTTAAGAAACATAGCAATGTTGACAACAGAGGTATGATAAATGCTCCATTATGTCATTCACATTAACAGCACAGGAAACACGTACGCACACTAGAATTCTTTGCACTGAAGCCCAGCTGTTTAAAAATGCAGGAATACACTATTCTCAAAATTAGTATTATATTATAGGCATGCACAACTTCACGTATCTAAAAATTAGGAGGCAGGACCTAAGACACAGGCTTTGTGAAGAATTCAACAATGACTTAATGTTTGCAATCTAATGAAAGTCTAACTACTTAAAATGAGAGTGCCAATATGTTTGTAAACCAGGTATTAAAGCAAATTTAGTCTATGTGAAGAATATTTGAAAAGTGATAATCAAATTCAGAGAAGGAAAATAGCCTCAAAAAATTACATTTTAAAGGTTTTCCAGTTAACCACCTATTATTTTTCATCTCAGGTTAACTGAATATCTCTTCTTAAATAGAGGTACAGACTATCTTAACACAAGCAATCAATTTTGCCTATTTTGTTGTGAAATACTACTTTCAAGGAAGTGAAAGTGCCCAGTTTTACAAGTAATTTTAGATTCAGAGTACTGACTGAAAATGGAAAATATGACATTGAAAACACAGCAGTGCTAACAAATACAAAATATGCAGCTTTTGGAAAAAAAAGCAGCTCACAAGGCACTTGCTATAGTGGTCCATTAAATAAACAGTATATATAGTGCACCCTTAAAACATCATTGTTATGCATCAAGCTTTTTCAGTGTTAAACTTAATATTTATTAAAAACCACCACTGGGTTCTGTGTATTCCGAAGCAGTTATTGAACAGCCTTGTTTCATATAATGTAAATGAAAAAAAAAAATAGAAGTGGGGCATAGAAGGAGAGTATTTTACATCATTTCTTCTCATGTGAAAGTTTTTCCGTGTAGTGGTAAAATTAAGTGTGGAATGCCATTCTGACACACACCCTCCTGACCCTCTGCCCCAAAAAGCTACATTCCTGCTACTGGAAGAGCCTGGCATTTTAATTACAATTAATTCTATCATCAACTACTGGTTTGGCTCATCATTTGCAGCTTTGAAAAATAATGTGCATAACAGTAGCATTAAGCTACTTTCCTTTCCAGAGCAAAACCTGGCAGATATGGAAAAGTAAGTATCTGTAAAAATTGTACATTATTTCAATGGCTTAAAATGCTGAAAGTCATAATCAACACACTTGATACTGGTTTGATATTCTTTGTTTCACAACATACTTCAAAAGGCCAGAAGAGCTACAGACCCGATCACATCTCCTCGCATTTCTCTGTGGGAACGGGTTCTTCATCTCCCTTTAGAAAGTATGCATATATTAAATCATACTTTTTAATTACTCCCAGACTGAGAAAGCTTGGATCATACAAATGTATCTGCCACCTTAAGGTTTCTGCAGTTGCATGTTGGATAAAGAAAGCTGTCATTGACAGAAGGATCTGTAGATTGGCCAGAGGAAAAGTTAACATTCTAAATTAAAACCGGTTCCAGAAGATTAGCAAAAGGTACCAACCTGTTCAGGGGACTTCAACCTACTTCTGCCCAGTCCATTATGGTACTTATTTTGTCCATAAGCACCAAAGTGAGAAAACTTAAGCATTTGTCCAGAATCACCACACATAGTCCATTCTCAATTTCTACTCCGCAGATCACTTACAAGTTCCCCAAATTCTAACTCAAATCACCAAAAAAAAATATCTAATCCTCACTCACACTTTTGCATAGTTTGGCGTTTTCTGGAGTTGTACTTCTGTTTTCTTTCATAGCTTTTGAGGGGACTCATCCGTCACACACACAAGTACTTCCAGTCTAAATCCTTCCGGAGAAAAACTGAGTCCCACTTAAGCAGCAAGCTGTCCCGGACTGCTTAACCTTCTTTCAAATTCAAAGTAAAGATTATTCATTCTTATCTGCACTTTCAGATTTTTCCCTTTGCATCATGCAGCGACGAACTATGCTGTCAAAACTTCCTAGGTAAAATAGGCCAACGATGCGAAAAATGCCCATGCAAACAACCTGGAAACAGAGAGAAACATCTTTCAGTTCATTTAAGATCCCAGACTGCAGCATATTAAGTACTTGGGGAAATAAAGCTCCAGGCAGGTATGCTACATCATGAAAACCATCATAACTATGTAACAGTTCAGGATGGAGTAGCAGGTAGTAGTAGTAGCTTTCCCCCCAGCTTGCTGCTTCAGCTTGAAAAATATCACTTCAGTTTCACTAAACCCAAGTCTCCACAGTATTAACAACCATTTGATGAAAAAATAATCAATGTTTGCACAGTGTTCTACATTTTGAAGTATTTTAAGCGGTAACGAATTGTGACTATGGGGCCTTCCCAAATCTTACCTGCTGAAGACCTTCAGTAATAGAAGTGACTGGTGACATTCCACTTGTCAATATTGATAGCATGTACCCGTCTGATCCAACTGAGCTGTTAAAGTTCCCTTGCTAGATAGAAGGAAGACAGCAAGTAAAAAAAAGAAAAAAAAGTAATTTACCCAGTAGTGGCAAATCATATGTATCTTATTTCAACAGCTATTCTTGATGAATGTAGCTGACTGATTAAAAAAAAAAAAAAAGAGTTAACACAATTAAGATTCAAAATACTTAAAAATATTTTGTGCTATACAGCAACGTTGCAAAATTACTGCAGATTTAAAACGATAGCTTACTGATAGAAAATATGCATGATAGTCTCCCCATCTGTAAATACATTTCAGAGACAGAATTATACCCTAACGCTGTCAGATCACCAATCACTACTATAATTGGAGAATAAATACTGCTTGCCTTTTGTTAAAAGTAGTGTGTTATCAATTGTGATTTGGTGGGGGTTATATTTCAAATGCCAGGTTTTTTAAATATTAAAATACCTTTTAATTTCTATTTTAGTCTCTCAGTTTGATGGCTTGAGTACATAAAGACCATGTCTGAACAAATATATCATCCAAAGTGCTGGAAACCATGATGTAGAAATACCAGATGCTTAAGATTAGAGAGGAGGTAGTACTTCCTTTTAAAACTCACCACCCTAAAACCAGACATGATTTTGTGTTTGTGCTGCGTTTCTGAAAATACTGTAACAACTGAACACCTGCTGTAGGTATAAATCAAATTGAAGACCAAAAAGTATTTGGAACTGTAAAGTAATTACAGATTTTAGGATTTAATAACTTTATGAAGATGAAATTTCATGTTTGTTTCTATTCTGAGGTGCTCTACTAACTGTGCAAGCTTTTCATACCATAAAACATTAAAAAATTCCTTAGAAAGGCAATATACCTTTAACCACTATGAGCAGCATTTTATGTATTTTAATCACTCATAAATCACATACTTAAGACGTTAAAAGCCAAAATGCTAGACTGCCTTCATTTGTTTTAAAATTATTTTTAATGAACTCATCTTCAAGAAAAATAAGATAGTCTAACAAGCTTTTGAGGTTAGACAAATGGTATTTAATACATAAAAAGTCAATAGAGTTTACAGCTTTAAAAGCAGTCATAATCTGCCTTTGAGACATTGCATCATACTGATGCATCATTTGGTTCTGTCTGATGTACAACTTCAGATACTTTTCAGTTGCAGGAGATTGTATAAAATCATTTGTGGCTACAGTGGAGAAATAAGAAAAAAGAAAATACTTCTTGTTCAAACTAAACAAGGAGTACTGTTTTGTGTAAATCGATTTTGCATTTAGCTTCACCATAGTCTTATAGTCTCAAAGAAGCATTACACGCAATCCCAGCCTCTCCAACAAAGAACATAGTTTAAAAAGATAATTTACTTACGATGGCATCTTTGACTATAACTCTGGCGACTTGTTCTGCTTGGCAAACCGATGAGGTTTCAGAAATTAGCTTCGTCTCTAAGGGCTTTAGCAGAAAAACACCAATGTAAGTTTGACTAATAACGCACAGGAGAGAAAAATAAGGTCAAATTTTGGTTTGGAGTCTTTTGTCATGGATGACACCACTGTTACCAAGTGGTACCATGCTGTTATCTAAAACATCCACTTAAAGAAAGGTAAAAACACCTTCCTAAATAAAAGACTAATTTTATGAAGGGAAATGCCAACTTTTCCTTGAGTTACATTTTTTTAACAGTTAACTAATAAAATATGAAAAACTGTTTCCCCCCAAGTATCTAATTTTCAGGAGAAGTTATCAAAATGCTTAAACTATGTCTCTGCAACACTTGCATTAGTTCATTTATGGGTTTTTTTTGCCAGAAATTAAAAGATATGCCTGAAATACTTTAAGAACCTACAAAAAAGCTTTTTTTTTAAAAAATTTAATTTCTCAAACTCTATACACTACTATCCACCAAAATCTATCACTGCACTTTATTTCTTCATGTTTTAAGGCATTTATGGCACTTTACCTCACTAGAAGAACACAATTATTGCCGTTATTCTAGCAATCACAATTTCTTTCACAAAAAAACCCTAAACACGTCTGGTTTGTTACAAAAACAAACGGCAAAAATATGCTTTGAAGTATTTAGAAGCATGTTTGTCATTCATGTCCTTTTAACAAACAAAACAATGATGGAGCCAACTGCACAGCAAGCTATGCTCAATGTTACGATAGGTCTGGTAATGAAGAAAAATCAGTGCTAAATTAGGGAGAAAAAGAGTACTTGGTCACAAATCGACTTGTTGTAATGGCTAATTCAGATACATTTAATAACAAAACCCAGTTGAAGCAGTTCAGCCTAGTCAAATACTGAGACTAGTTTAATTCTGATATTAATACTTTAAAAAAGCACTTCTAGGGAAATGCTGAGCAACTAGCGGTTTCTCTCTCTTTATCAATCCAGAGTACTACAGAAATTAAAATTCACAGAAAAAGGCTTATTTCCAAATACCTATAGAATTATGAATCCTGATTTCACTGACCAGGCTCATTTTAGAGGAGGTGGGGGGAATTTGCCAGCAGAAATCACATACAAACACCTTTTACATGCTTTCCTACAATTATATGTTTTACATCATCAGATCTCCATTTCATAACCCCTATGTACTTTTGAGCTTACTGGCCTGTACCAACCAAATCTGAAAGAGATATAGGGATGTCAACAGTAACTCAAATACTACAAGTTTGGGAAAAAAATTAATAGCTGTTCAGCAGCAACAGCTGAAGTTAATGACATGTCGAAAAAAAGACAGGCAGAAATCAGCCATTAAATACTCTATCTGGCTAGTCAGTAAGGCAAAGCATGGTTGTCATTTGTAAACCAGTTGCCTCAAAAACACCAACCAACCAAAAAAACCACGTAAATGATTATACACAAGAAAGCTGTATCCTAGTTCCTGACATTCTTTTACTGTATTCAATGATACCCGAGAAAAACAGCATAATCCTAAAGAAATGCAAACTACAGAGACACATGTTCTAAACTAAGTAGTATTAAATAAACGCAAAAATAATAAATGAGTATCTGAACTGTCAGAGCAATGCAATATTGTAGAGATTTGAGGTGCATTATCATGACAGGCACAAGTCACCCCAAGACTTCATGTATGCTAATGCAAAGCAGAAGTCTTTGCTTAAAAGCTAACACATTTTGACAAGATAAATCTCACTGAATCTCTTTTAAAGAGAAATCTTAGATGAACCGTGCATTTTGCTGGTGACTATTTCCCTGAAATAAGCTATTATGCAGAGAAAAATCCCACAGAATATGCAAGCTGTACAAGTATCTGCAGATGTCTAATTCTGGCACTTTATGTGGATGTGTGGGAGTACATATTTAATACAGAATATCTATATCAAGAAATAATGAAGTAAGAATTGTGTTATACAATCCCTACTGATTCCTACACGAAGAATGAAAGACAAAATGGAATTCAACCTCAATTTCCTATTTTACATGATGGAGAATCTTGAAAAGGCTAATCTCCTTTGATATCAGGTTTCTAGTTCATGGCATGCAAATAAAAAATAGACACATTTTTCTCCAGTTACCTGACACTTCAGTCTGAACCAGGGGCCTGAATGCAGTTTTTGGAATTCTACTTCATATGTAGGGTCATGTGTGCATTATAACGAGATGGAACTAAATTTTTGAAGGCCAAAACTTCCACTTTCAAGGTAAAGTCAAATAAAAGAGGTCTACTGCTGATAAATCCTTCTGAAAAGTGGTATTGTCATTTACAGTCCAATCCCAATGCAAAAGAATTTCCTTCCTACTTTAATACTAGACAACAGCCATTATTGTGTCATTACATATAGTCATACGGCATGGTTAGTTTGCAGACTTCACTGAAGGAAATGAGGTTTATTTTGATCTGTCACATCTATCAGAACAACCGCCTATTATCAAAAGACACAAAATAGGAATGTTATTTTTAGTTCATTAAGCTTTGATATCAAAACAAATAGTAGCTTTACAGTTTACCATTCCACAACAGTATTTTGATTGCGTACAGAAAGACTTTCCAGTGTTTCAGATATGATAAGGTAGGCAGTTCTTCCATTTAAAGCCAGAACAATAAACTACACAAAATTATCCTACAAGTTATTTAACTCTGTCTAGTTAAGTTGATAAAATGGAATTATATTGAAGTACTAGTTAAAATCTTAATATGAACTGATCTCAGAAATACTACCGAAGTGAATGAAAACTGAAATGCATTGCCTACTACAAAATGAAGCTTTAATAACATTACTGAACAGCAGTTTACCTTTGTTTTACTTTCTTCTGCAAAGCCAGGTGTATCAGTATCTGGAGGATAGGCCACCGTTATGTAGATATTATAAGGCTTTACCTGTATTTTACAAAAGAAAGTCTTATCTTAATATTGACAGCCTTTACATGTCCCTCAGAACTTCATTAATTTCTCTTGTACCAAAGAAATAGAGCAGGCATGAATTTAAATTGCTTCTAGTGTTTAGTCATCCTCATATTCAGCACTTGCAAGACTCAAAAGTTCTGCCAAATGTGACAGCAAAACAGCAAAAAGCAAGAGACGGTTATGTTTTGTTTAATAAAAATATCTAAAAACTTTGCACTTGAGATAAATTATTTGATGAATCTAAGTGGTTTTTAAGACCTTTAGGAGGAATATGGAAGGAGTTTAGCTCTCTAATTTTGCCAATTTCAAGACAAGACTAAACCATTGCCAAACACCAGTACTCAGCATTCATAAACACAAGGCCAAAAAGACTTTCACTGAAACTTATTAGCATGCTTTTTTCTTGTTGTTTATGTCAACAAACATTCTCTGCTGAACAAACACGAGAAAAAAAGAACAAACATTTAAAACTCAAATTTGGTACCTTTAAGAGAGACAGTCAAGTTACAAGGCTTTTCAACCCATGGTATAAACTTACAAGGGATAAAAATTTACGGAAACAAAAAAATAAGTAGAAAGTGTAAGAAAAAAATGGAAGGCCTCGAGTCAAGGATTGCATTTAGTTATGTATTTGTATGTATGTGTCATAGAATTACATCACTTACTGCACTACTATTCAGAAACTACTACAATGCAAACCTGTAAAAACTTTCTACATTGAAAACACTTACTGAAATACCACATCACAGGCCCATAAATGCCCTATTTTTAGTTTTGAAGAATTCAGTCTCCAAAAGATATGTCCCCAGTCTAAAGAAAGACCCTGCAGTCACATTGTTCTATCTGGCAGGCCAGAAGTGATTACAGGCAGTTCTACCCCACATACTTATCCTGATCAAGGCATACATTGAGCAGACCAAGGCAAAACTGGGACTATGCAAAGGTCTAGAACCAAAACACAGACATTTAATATATATACTTAATATCTACTTAACAATGTAATATACATCCTTAACAAAAGAAGGGAAGCAATCTTGAAATCAATGTTACCTGTCTTACTACAATGCACTTACCAATCTTGTGTCATTGAATAATTAAAACAGTATTTGTTGGGTTTTTAGTTTTGATTTAAGCATAAGCTTAGATCATCACACTATAAAAAGTTAATCTATACCAGAATTTAGAAGGGTGAACTACTGTCAAATTTTTTTTTTGTGGACCTATCTTGCAAGTTTTACATACCACTTGCTGCAGCCTCACAAACAAGTTGGGAATTACTGGCCTACCATTGATGCATCCATGGGATCTTCAATACCATTCTGCACTTAGAGCCTTGAAAAGACTCTTCTCAGAAGACTTAAAATCCAAGTGCTTTTAGTTAAAATATAAGATAAAAAAAAAGTCTGAACATGTCATCTTCAGTTCTAGGAACAGATTCAATCTATTCCCTCTTATGTAATTGAAATCAGCTTAGTTTCTGCAACCCCATGCACAGCAATAGGATTGTACTGCTGCCAAAAAAAGGGCCAACATAGCACACAGATAACAGTAGCGCTGCCCAACACGAAAAGGACTACTTCAACGAAAGCCTGCTGTACTGCTAGTTAAAAAAATATTTTGTTCACAATCAAAAATACTTAAATTATTGCACACATACCTCCATTTGCAGGGCTTCAGCCAACCCTCGAAGAGCAAATTTTGTTGGAGAGTAAGCTGTATAACCAAATAGGCCTAATTGCCCAGCCTGAGATGATACAAACACAATCCTTCCCATCCTTCGTTCCTTCATGGTAGCAATCACTGCTCGACTCGGGTAAACACTACCCAGATAATTGACTGCCATTAATCTCTGTACAAACGATATTAATATGATATTTAAGTCACAGATTCAGAATCATCCTACTGTTTGGTATTATTAATCAAAAATCCCTAGTTCAGTCTGCTTTAACAACAAAATTCACTACATTTGTAGTTCTATCAGCTGGGAAAAGAAACAATTGCGTTCTATTCTACAGCTTCATAAACTGTTCTATAGCTAAAATTCTCACTTAAGCCAAAAGAAATCCAGACTATCTACAAGTCTTAACAGCATCAAGGATACTGATAATACTTTGAACTGTAAGACCTTCAAGGCACAAAGAACATTTGAGGGAAAAATCTAACATAAAGAGTGTCCAGGACACAATGTATGAAAACATAATGAAATGACAATTTAAAGAACTTTCTAAAACAAGAAACAAACAAAAAAATCTCTGTATTTATGCATTTCACAGATTTTAATCTTTGATGGATAGGGGGAAGTCTTTCATGTCACTCTCTAGAAGACCTAGAACACAACTGATAGCCTATATAAGCAATAGAATGGATGATTCAGATTTATTATAAAATTATGCCTATTTAGTTTTTTCAGATGATTCAATGTTATCTGCAGATGACTGGGTGCCTGAGATCTGTGGGCATAAAATAACTAAAATACAGGGGCTTGGGGTATTTTTTTTTGGTGTTTTCAGAGCAGCAGCTTCTCAAGCTGTAAACAATTTGTACACCTCAGTTTAATAGTGGTAACAGTCAAATTTTTCTTAAACAGGTTAAAAGTATTTTTAAAACACAACAAACTTTACCGGAGAAGAAAAAATAAAAAATTACACCATGTGAAATTCAGTGCTTTTCACAATGCATTAAACTACGAAAACACAACCCAGGCTTTTCTGCCATCTTGAGGACTCCATCCCAGAGGGAGAATTCACTTTTCTGACGCAGCAAGGGACCAATAGTTAGGTGAGAATTAAGAGACAATCCTTGTAAATGTAAAGATACATTCTAATTCTGACAGCTGCCACAAATCAAGTATATCATTATCACGGAATCATGGAATTGTCAGAGTCAGAAGGGACCTCTAGAGATCATCTGATCCAACTCCCCTGCTAAAGCATACAAAGTCTGCAAAGGCACAGGAATACTATCTAATTGTTAGAATGGTTGAATAAGAAATCATCATATAATAAAATGAAAAGGTATGCTCACTCACTTCAAAAGAATTCACTTCAATATCCTCAAATTTTCCTGTAACTGATGTTCCTGCACAGTTTACAAGCATGTCAACTGGCCCCAGCTTCTCCTGAGCCTGGAAGAGCGGGAAAAAGGTAAGATGTTCTTTAGCAGGAAAAAAACCTCATCCCACAGCACAGTATCATTATAAAAAACTATTTCCAATAAAAATATGTCACACACAGATAAGCTTCTTAAGATACATACTTAGAACTACTTCCTCACCTGTTTTAGGACATTCTCCACTTGTTCATAGTCTTTAGATACATCAACAGAAATACATAGTACAACCTGGAAAAGGAAAGTGCAAGAACATTCTTACAACATGATTAAGTCCAGTAACTGTTGACTCTGAGCCTTTCAAAATGAAACAAAACCCAATGACATCTTTTCCAGAAAAAAAAAAGAAGTCTTTTTGACAGGACAGTTTGCACTTCTCTTGCACTGGAGAAAGCAATCCCTGCCTCCTCCGAGCTCCGCCCCCTCACACACACATTTGAGTATAATGATTATATTAAGAACAAATAAGCACTTCATGATCTTCAAAGAAGCTACTCATGTGCGAAGTATCATTTCTTATTCGCTGTACTAAGACACACTATGACTTGAGTTATTTACACAACATTTAATAAAAACTATTCTAAGGTAGTCAAAATTCCACAGTGCTACATTTAACTTTCATCACTGCTAAACACAAGTCAAGCCATTTGTGTGACTTGGGCTATCTTTAAGAAAAACTTTTTTTCCCCACATCATAGCAAGGCATGATTGCAGAATGTTGCTCTGAAACTGCAGCATCAGCACTGCAAAAACACTTTTCCAAAAATGCATAAAGCAAGTGTTATAAACTTGCTGACTTTAGCACTAACATTGCACTCTACTCACTTTAAAAAAAAAAAAGTTTTTTGAAGAATATTAATAAACTTAGCTACATACTGTTTAACTGGGACATGTCAAGGACAAAATTAAAATAAAAATTCTATGAGAAACTGACTAGCTGCACAGTGTTTTAAATATCTAAAAAGTGAAGTAATGTGTATATGTTTACTTCTTGTCTGGAAACCAGAGATTATGGGGTTTAGGTTGAAAGATACAGAAAACTGAAAATATGCATTGGCCTGGGGGAGAAGGCAGGGGAGGCAGGCAGGACAGGACAAGAAAAAACATATGACAGTGATACCAAATTTCTGTTGCAGCTAAAAATTGGGCCCTGCTTTTCTTTAAAGTTACTGATTACTTTCAGCAAGATGATCTCAGAACCTTGATTTGAAGCACCTTCAAATCAACTTCTGGCCAAAGGAAGCACTGCCTTTGGGTTACCACTTACAAACTGTAAGATCGCTACAAACTCCAGTTTGGCCAGGTATTTACAAACAAGCTATCCTCTCTGCTGAGCAATCCAGCAGAGCTTCAGGGTAATTAATCATCTTGAAAGGAGAAGCAATCTCACAGCGCAATTAAAAGAGGGACTCCTGTATTCTTGTTCCAATTTCTGTCCTTTCTGTTACTTTGGTCAATTCCTTTAAACTCAGTTCGAGGTGAAATCAAAAAAGTCATCACCAGTTTGTACAAGTATCATTGTGACCACTTGCATGGAGCACGTGGACACACACACACGAAAAAAAAAAAAGCTTAGCACAGTGTAACTAACTGCTTTGGCAGCTTGTTATTTGGCAGCTCTGCCTCTGGTCAGACTGCAACACTTCTTAGCTGCATAAACAGAATCTGCCTGCCATTCCTGTACAGCAGGTTGGCTATTCCTGCCTCCCAGCATTGTGTGTAGTCGGACATCAGAGTAAACTTGTGGTACGAGTTACTGGTGGGTCTACATGCATCTCCCCTTAGGGCATTTATTACTTTTTGGAAATATTTATCTTTTACGTAAGTTTGAGAACAAAATAGCAGTTACACATAAAAACCCATTGATTTATTATCTGGATGTCTTTGCAAGATCAATGAGGAGGTTAAAAAAAATTCTGTACCAAAATTGGAGCAGTTGGCTAATATACCAGATGGCATAGATTAGTTATTCATACTGTGACCAACACACTCGGGAACTACCACAGCTTTTATTGACTACTGTCACATTATACAATTCACCTCTTTGCTTCTATTATCATATGTTCTTTCTTCTGCTATAATATACTGATTACCTTCACTCCAAAGCATGCAGTATAGATCCATGCCTAGGACACAGAATAGGCTGCCAGAATTAGTCTAATATCCCCAACCCTGCTCCTCACCTTTTTTTCTACATATTGCATGGCATTGGATCATCAATAAAGCTTTCACAATAAATCCAACTCCCAGTGAAGTAACTGGGAATATTCTACATTATGAGAAGGATTTAAGAAATATTGAAAAAAAAAAACCAAAACCAACAAACAAACCCAAACCTCTAAGGGCAAGGACTTTGTCCCATTGCACACTTACAAAGGCTGCACTGTCAGCACTCATCTATCCTGAGGATCTTTGCCTCTTAGCTCAACATCTAACAAATTTACCGGTCTCTGTGTATGTGATCCATATCAGACATCATCTTTGTGTACACTCTTTCAGCAATCCTTTTGTACAACTTCTCTCAGTTCAGCTACCCTCACCTCCTAACTTCTCATCTGCTGTTCCAGTAGGAGCTCTGCCCCAGACTCCCCGCTTTTTGCAGTTCTGTTCTTCAATTTTTCTCAGGCAGGCTCCCCTGTGACATTGTCTACAACCCAACAAGAGCTACAGAAGAGCCATCCTATGCTTAACATGGGTGGAAATCTAAAGCTGCTTCTGTAAAAGCTGTCCTGTTCAGTCCACACTGGAGCTTGCTCAACCCTGAAGGTACTTTCTGAGATTCTAGCCAAACTCTGACGAACATGCACCAAGAAATATTATTTTAAGAAGTCTGCATCTATCAAGCTTGGACAGATTTTAACAGGAACATCCAGACACAGTGTTTGACCAGGGATTAACTTTAATGCTCAGCCTGGGAAACTACTAGAGCAGCTAAAAGAAAATGGTTATCAGGATTTATTTATTTATTTTTATATGGGCAACATAGTTTCTCCTCACCTCAAATGGCTTAGTTTTTCAAATAAAGATGAGCTGAATAAGGCAGCATGCACAGAAAAAAGAAAAAGTCAGCTTGAGCCATTTGACAAAAATATAAGGAAGACAGAATCTTATCTAATAAATGGAGGTATTAAGAATATTTTGTATCAGCTAGTACTAATATTATTGGATTTGACTTTTTCCATTGCTTATTTTCAACAGAATATCCAATTAATTAATTCAAATGCCTTTTCACACAGGAATAAATTTCTTGTATTTGTAATCATGAAAGTAACAAAAACTTCTGGAATACAAGAAAGGAGAAATCAAAGATTATAACAGACCCAATACTATTTCCCCTATCCTCTTCATTTTTAGTACTGCGATAAAATAATTTCAGCATTTCATCTTGAAGTTGCATTATTTTGAACATTGCAAACTCACCTAGCACCTCCATAAGCTCTAAAACAGAGCCTTTATGCACAAGTGCACTATCTAGTTGCCAAAACAGCTTCAGTGTTTAAAGGTCTCGGAAACTCACAAATTTAATTTGTGTATCTGTTTAGAGTACTTTACCAGGAAAAGGAATACAAGCATAACATAGTACACTAAACCTGGAAACAAGTATCTGAACTTCCTTCCTAAGACAATTACTGTATTTATGAATTGCAAAATGAGATTTGTTAAAAAAAGAAAAGAATTGGTTCTTCCACTTCACCTTGAAGAATACAAATGCTTATTAAGTGTCAGTACACTGCACCTATCCTAAAAAGCACACTACACCTACAGCTGAAAACATCTACCTTTTTCTCTAAAAAAAGCACGCTAAGCACTAGCTAGGCAACATCAAACATAGCAGAGTTCAGAGCACCATATATAATTAGATTTTTTTAATTCAGAGTCCTCACATATTTTTGTCAAACAGCTTTGTTTTATAGACAGGACTACTTTAAACAAAACACACAACTATTAGCAGTGATCTTACCTGCTTGTCATTAACAGAATACTTCTCTATTTCCTTCTTCGTCTGCAACAGCTTGTTCTGAAATGGATAAAAGAACAGCTAAACCATTGCAGTTCTGAGAGCAAAATAGTTCAATATTTCAATATGGCTTAAAAACATTCACTAAACCCCCCAAAAGTTATCCTCAACTAGTTATAACACTTTACTATTACCATTTTACAATTTTTATAAATATATGGTGAAGATGTGAATTCTATCAAGCTACTAGAACTCATTGATCTGTTTCTCACTTCATCTTCTAAAGCCAGTAACGACTTCTGTAATAGATGTAATGTTTTTTGTTTCATACAACTACACAGAGCACTTAAGACTTGGGTATTAATTTTTCTCCTGTACTTTGGTTCTATTTTATATTTATATAATATTACATAAAATAATCAGTAAATAGTCAATAAAATCAGTAAATAATCAATAAAATAAAACAATCACTGTAATGAAATTATCCTAAAAATTAAATTAAAATTTGGTAAATTCAAATTGTCATGCCCATTTCAAGAAGAATTGTGTTAATTCTGGCTGTTTTTAAGGTCATGCAAAGTAAGTTCTCAAATGTAAGTAAATTTTCAAAGACAGCTGGGACTAAGGCCCCCCAAAAAATTTAAGAGCTTTTATTTCCTGAATTATTAGGGGTTTTGTCCACAAATAAAACAACAACTCGTTATGAAAGCAGAGTCATTCTAACTACCTTCTGAATCTCCCTTAGAAAAACCCAAAGCAACCCTTTTTCCTCCAAAGCCACCTTGATGAACTGTTTTTCAGTAGTAAAATGTATGATATAATGCTGATTAGACACCAAAATAAATTTTAAGAATTGTCTTTAATCCCCCAGTTGTCACTTACTATAAAGAAATTCTACAGTTTTAAAAGAATATAGGGGTTTTCCTGCTTTTGTCCTCTGCCACGACTCTAGACAGTGAAATAATGAATGTCATTAAAAGAAGTGAAAGCAGTGGTAGAGTTTTAAGGCAAGCTAATCAAAAATTCCATGTTGGGCTACACTCCTTAAAAAGGCAGCCACCTCTTCTCTTCAAATGCATTCATGTGAAATGCTTAGGCTCCTCTTAAAATAAACACCAAAGTATGAATAATTACCAATTCCAAAATTATTCCCCATCTATACAGTTTTTGTGAACAGTTTAGTCAGTAAAAGTACACACACACTTACCTCATCCCGAGCAATCAGCGTTATGAAAGCACCTTGCTTATAACATTCAATAGCAATGCATTTTCCAATTCCACTGGAACCTCCAGTTACCTAAAAGTTATTTGAAAACAGCAGTGTTAGTACAATATTCTCATCCCCTCTCTCTTATGGTATGAGTCTAATTAAATGAAAATTCTAAAAACATACTGAGATTAAAATATCACCCAATGAGGTATGAATACAGTAGATACGCTAAAAGTTAGTTAATTATTGAGTATGAATGAAAAATAAGATCTGAATAGATTGATAAGCGTTTGTTTATACCCCAAAACCAGTTTTACTTTAGTGGATATTTTTTTTTTCCTCATTTCTTATATCAGGCACACTTTAACCCACTCGGGCCATTCACATTCTTTTGAGTAATTTTTGTATGTTACTTCTAAAAGTAGAAGTTTGAAATCACTGTTGGCATCAGCCATAATAACACTGCCCCTCTATACTGGATTACAGTAGAAATTACCAACTGCAGATTGCCTGCTGAAGATAACATCACGTACACATAAGCAGAAAATACCTTATTTCTCAGTTAAAAAAATTAATTAGTTCAAGAGTTGGCCCTCCCGGTCTGAATTCTGAATTCTCTGTGCCACCCAACAATTCCAGTGTCACAGGGATGCCAGCACTTCAACTTCCGTTACCTTTTCTTCTTTCTCTAAACTGTAACACTGAGAAGTCTCATACATAAACAGGAGATTAACAGTTTGCCCATAGACAAATGCAGGGTAATGACTACAGCCCTGCATCACATGTTGCAGAAGGATATACTCCCAAATAATACTAATAGACAGGTTAAAGTCATCTTAACACCTCTCTCACTACCCTCAATAAACCTACTGATGAACTCCATGCGCAATAGCATGTAGATGACAATCCTGACCTCTCTTTTTGACTAAAATAAAAATGCCTGCCTGTTTGACACTGCCTTTAGATGACGGCTTCATTTAAGCCTAATCTGCATGTCCTTAAAAAACACTGGTATATTCCTTATATACCCCAGTTATTTGAATTGTCTTTTAACAGCATACTAAGAGGCTGTAACTGGGAAAATATTGGAACAAAATGCCTAGAAACAGTTATTGAAAAAAATTATGTTGATGGAATGAAATCTGAAATACAGATTTCCTAATAATTTGAAAAAGAAGCAATTCGGATTGCTCTGGAAACCATTTTTTGCTCTTTATCAAACCTTTCAAAAGGCTTCAGAGGAAGTAAGGTATCACCTCCATTTTAAGTATGAGAAAATGGAGGCATTGAGCTAATCAGTGGAAGAGCAACTATCCCCAATTTCTAACTACACACTCTATCAAAAGCCTTTTGTTGTCTCCTCATCTGCCAACGCCTCAGTTTTGTTTTCAGAGCTGTGTTATCCTTAAAATTCTTTCTGTTCCTGGAGGCAGTAAAGTCAGAAGAGCAAGAAGTACATTCCCATGTGTCACTAAATTCTTCTATCATACGAGTATTTTATCACTAACCTTGAAAAACAGCTTCACTTAAGTCAAATAATCCCAGCAAACAAAGATTTACAACACAGTCCATGGTTTGACTGGTTCCTCTTCAGTCACAAGTGGACTAAGACTGGGTACAACATTCACAAAGACAAATTTCAGCTCTTAAGGCTTCCTTTACTGTTAGAGATAGCTGGTTCAGATTAGCTTTTAACTGACTCTCTCTGCAAGATGAGCTTCACGCAACTTTAAACTTTGAGGTTGACTCCAAGATGTAAGTCCTGTACTGGAAATGGGAGACCCGGTCGGTAGAGTTCTCACCCAAGGATGACTGCTTTCAAAGACTGCTTTGTAAGAGCATGAGTGTTAGCTAATAATTTGGGACTTCAGCAGTACTCTAGAATAATTTACGGTTCGTGATGGAAAGAAGTTAAGAATTTCAGTGTATTCCCAAAATAGCTTGCAAGACTTCAATACATCTCAGAAAAGATTTAAAGACTCAGTTTGATACACTAAGTCAGACCTCAGTTCCACAGCACTCATGAGTTGCTTCAACAGATTTTCAACAGCAGAGGTATACCAGCACACGAACTAACCATTGAGCATGGAAGACAGCTCCAATTCCAAATTTTTGGCATAGCACAGAGAGACAGCTGATTGCACAAACTGTTGAGCATCATGAACAGGTCAACTGCACCAGTGCTTGAGGAATTCTTTGAAGGTGGAGGTACTGGTACCAAGCCTCTGGCTTGTTAGACAACGCTGACATTCATTTCAAAAAGACAAAGTCTGAAGTCATGCAAGAAGTGGGAAAAGGAAGTTTTTATTCATGGTCACACCCAAGAACACTGGATAGGTCAACAACAAAAGGCAATATCAATTAACTGGGAGACTGTCACTAATACGCACATCTTTCAGAACATTCATCATGAAAGCTAATGCAATAGAAAAAAAATAATCCCTGACACTAGTGAAAACTTTATTTTGGGCTACAATGACGTTAGCCTGAGCAAATGTATGAAGTCTGTTAGGTAAGTTACTAACATAAATGCTCAGAATTAAAGTAAGAGCCCACATCTACTTCATTAAACAAGACATTGTTATGGTTACTTACCCTTCTGGCCAACAGTTCTGCAGTGCTACTGCACGTCATTAGTTTGAGACATTTGAATTGCTACTGACCCCATTTTTAAATTTCACTGTAACCCAGCCTCAGAGGAGTTAGCAAAAATAAAAATCTGGTCACAGCAACTCAAAACAGAGGAATTTCTTGACAGGAAGGGACAATTAAATCCTAGTATTAATTCAGACATTCAGAATGCAATACTACCAGCCCTTGAGCAGTGCTAGTAAGCTTTTTCTGTGTTTGAGAAGAACAGGTACCAAATTAGCTATTCCAGAACGGGTCTGGCTCTGACTTCTTGAGCTATGATGCTTGATTACAAAGTTTGGTTCACCCTTGAAAAATGTAAATTTTGGGGTGAGGTACAGAGAATTGCTGTGTTTGACCTTCAAGATGGAAATACTGGAAAATTGCTTCAATTGATGAGACAGTCCATAAGGAATGTCACAAGGAACGATCAAAATCAAGACTATTCATAGGCTCTGTATCTCCAACAGAGTCTATGAACTTCCACTTAGCACTGGATACAAGCTGGCTTCATGCTTTTAGACAGTGCTCTGACAGGTGTTTAGTTCCACTGACACAGAACATCCCTGCAGTCTGCTCTGAATGGTTAGCATGCCTGACTAGACTCAAAGTGACCTCTTGTCCAACCACTTGAATGCATCCAAACCACAGATCGTATCACTCGCAACACAAGAGCTACTGAGACACCAAGACTAGCCGTCCTTAAAGCTGACCGCAGTTATCAAATTGGGTGCTGCACAGAAGAGGTGAAACTACTTCTAGACTAGAGATGACCTTTATGCATGTGGATTTGGCATGATCATCTTGAACTATGTCCAGGAGCTAGTCCCAAGCAGAGAACACCTTTAGGTTTTCTGCCATTGTTAATCCACAAATTTTGATAAACTGTATTCATATCACTGAGATCTCAGGGGTTTTTTGCAGAAATTTCAGCTTGGTATTAGAAAGGCTGAAACAAGAAGGGGAAGGTTAGCATTGGTATTTCAGAGATAGTTTCTAAATGTTGCTCATGGTATTTACAGAAAGCTGGTTTTGCCCTAACATCTTAAGTTTTTGTTGCATTCTGCTCAATCACACAAAGCACCTTTGTAGAGAAGTTGAAGGAAAGAACAGAGAGAACATTTATAGGGCAGGTGTAACATCCCTAACAAAGGGCAGGTAAATGTGATATAAGTGAGCATGATGTACATGAAGCAGTGATGACTACCTTATCCTATGTTCATTTTCTTGACTACTGTTATTATCAGCTACCAAAATAATTGCTTATTCTCACAGAATATGTAATTTGCTAGTATGTAGCCTGAGACCCAAGGAAAAAGTTAAAGCCAATGGCAAAATAAAAGATGTATAAAATGGTCTTCCCACTTTTGAAGGACGGAGAAGTTCAGCACAAGAAGCAACAGCTCTATAGCACTAAAATAACTTTTATACCCTTTATTTGAGAACACTTCCCTAGTCATGCTAGAAACAAAGCAAGTAGTATTAGACATCTAAAAAGCATTTTGCTTTAAGTAAGCTACACCTGATGTTTCAGCCAATTTGATAGCAGAGAAGTCATTTCTATTTAATGGTGCTCAGTGGGGTCACCAAAATACATAACAGATAAGTGGGGGTGAAAATACCCACAAGATCAGGCCGCTAGTAATCTGGAGTTCTGTAGACTCTCACTCTGAATAGCACCCTAAGAAAAATAGACTCCTACGATGATGATTCCTTCAGAAAGCATGCCTCGCCTAACACAGTGAGCAATTCCATCATGCAAGTGACTCCAGAAAAGGACAGAGAGAAAAAAACCACAGTTTTCCGTTCCAAATTTCTACCCCAAAAGGCAGCCAGAGTCAGTTACTTAGCCATAACTCAAACATCTGTTAACTGTAACTGTTAGGAGTGAATAGAAAACCTTTTTATGAAGGATTAAGTGAAAAGAACGCTGACTTTAGTTGAAAATTCAATAACTGGTACGTAATAACATCTGAAGTTGCCCAATGACCACCCTTCAGAAATGTAACATATATTTTTCACGATACTTTCAACAGGCCCACAGAAAGAAGACCTTCTAGATAAGACAGACTTTTTCTGCTTCAGAAAAACAATTTACTGAAGTATATATCTTCAAAAATTTTACTTACTGTGCAATGGTAATCACTTACCCTCTTGAGAGGGCTTAACCAGCTAGATATGCTATTTGCAGGCCTTTATTCCTTTTTTGGGTTTAACTGAAGCCCAACAAAGATTAACAAATGTTAATCTACAGTCTTATGTGAATCAAGTCAAACTAAAAAGAATTTGCATATGCAGATCACCTAACAGATTTTGATATTCTTCTGTGAGAAGACTTCAAAGAAGTCCTTAGACAATGTTACGGTCCTTAAATATTTTCATGAAGTCTCTCAGTTATTTCAGTCGCAGAGAACATTTACTCCCAGTATACAGTGTAAGAATTCACTTTACACACACAATGTGGAAATCCTCACTGAACAAAATTTCTGATTTACGGTACCAACATCCAATATTCTTCTTTATGCATTATGCTAGAAAATTTGAAATCCAAACATACAAGTGCCCAGCGTTACTAACAGCATCTACAAATGTAAGAACTAGTGAAATCTGAAACAGTTGCTCCGTACTTCATTAGTTTGCCTGAATACTTTAAAAGCATAACTAAATTCAAAATAAAACAAGTATCTCTGCCAGTGGCAACATCAATAAAACTGTTTACCTGCAGGTTTTTATATGTATCATCAAGTTAAATGTATCTACAGCCTTGTCCGCCATCAAAATATTAATATAGTTACTTCTCTAGCTGTACTCCTAATTTTATAAGATTTGCAGGAACACTGTGTTTGACACTTCTACTCTTATCAAGTTGAGCTTAAACTGCTACCATAATTAATGGCAATGGTTACAGGGAGAAGGTTTCTCAAACAAGAACAGTCTCCCAATTTTCAATGTGAAGTTTCTTAAATGAACCATTCTGATTAGAAAAACCAGTACAGCAGCTTTTAAGTAGCTTAATCACATAAAGAACACACAAAATTTGGGACAATCACAATATATTAAAAAAAATGAACGAGCAAAATTTTGGAATAAAATCCATTGAACTTTTTATTGTTTGCTATTCTATTTCTCCATAAAAGTCACAAAAAGTCTGCTTCACCTTTGCTTTTTCACAATATTGAAAGGTTCTTAAAATCCTACTTAAGGGTTCTTCCTTAGCAAGCATTAATTCTGTGGGAAAAGCCATAACCAGAGAACCTTAACGCAAGCTCGAACACACCTCACACAGTATACGATGCCATAAAGCCAGTTACGGCATTCAAGCAACACCTATTGCATAAAGCAACTTTGGAATACTCTTGCAACTTGGACAGGTCTAAATCATTCTGGGGACAGCTCCATCCTCCACAGAAGAGCTCCAAAAATAATAATTAAAAAACCTCAAACAAAACAAAAAAAGAACCAGAGCTAAAAAAAATGTTTTTGAAGTTAACTTAGAGTAGTTGTAAATTCACTTGTACCTAAAAAGTCTAACTTCTTGGATTATTTCAAACTTCCACCATTAAAAAAGGAATCTGCAAGCACTACCTACTCACCCCTTAAAATTAAATTTAACCAAACAGCAAACTAGAGCTTCTCTGCTTAGCTTTAAACCTCTGAGGTGTGTCCTAAATTAAGGGAGCTGATTGTAGGACCCTGAACCTTTCAGCTGCTTAACTCATTTGCTCTCATGTGTCCAAATACACTACTTTGTGATACACCTGAAAGCCTCTGGATATTGTCTTCCTTCCTCTGCCCCCACCTCCCGCAGCCAGGCACCCTTACAACATATAGTGATGTGCTACTCATGAGCTGTTTCAACACTATGTTCTTCTGAAGACTTCCTTCTGAATACTAACTTATACCATGTGCACTACAATCAGTCAAAATATTGCTCATAGACATCGCTATCTATGTACTTAAAGACGAAAAGATGCATGAGCGTCATCTGACTGCTTCCTCTGTATTAGTCTTCCCATTTCCTCGTGTCTGACTTGCTTTTTTACACCAAGAAAACCATAGATTTTGTCTTTTGTTTAGGAGCGCGCACACACCTTGGGAAACGCTACAAGAAAACCAAACTCAAGGTGACCAGTAACTTCAGAAGTACAAAAGGCACGTCTCAGAAAGTCAACATTCAGACTGCAGATGGTTTACATTGCTGGTGACTCAGAAGATCGCCTCAAGCCAATCGAGACAGACAGCGGTTGTCAGAACCATCTGCACAGGTCATTTCCTTATCGTCCGGACCTGCGGCTCCCACGTTTCGGTAGCTCGGGGTGCCACAGCCAGCCGCCAGCACCTCCTGCAAACCCGCCGCCGCCCCCGACGCTGAGCCCGCCCAGAT